ATTCCAAAAGGGAGGAGTGTACAAAGAGGTATGTTCCACTCCCTGCCATTTCCCATCATGAGCTAGTTTTTCAGCTTAGCTTTAGAATGCCCTTCTTGAGAGGAAGGGTCCATTCAGATGGTCAGGGGGCTTAGAATTCTATTTTTGGTTTACACTTCTTTTTTTTTTTTGAGACAGAGTCTGGCTCTGTCGCCCAGGCTGGAGTGCAGTGGCCGGATCTCAGCTCACTGCAAGCTCCGCCTCCCGAGCTTACACCATTCTCCTACCTCAGCCTCCAGAGTAGCTGGGACTACAGGCGCCCGCCACGTCGCCCAGCTAGTTTTTTGCATTTTTTTTTAGTAGAGACGGGGTTTCAACGTGTTAGCCAGGATGGTCTCGATCTCCTGACCTCGTGATCCACCCATCTCGGCCTCCAACAGTGCTGGGATTACAGGCTTGAGCCACTGCGCCCGGCGGAAGAACTTTCTTCTTAATGGAAAGTTAAATGAGAGCAAAGTCCAGGGAAGTTCTCATTAGCTTGGGTCTTCCCAGAAGCCGAAGGGCACGTAGAGCCTGTCCTGCCTCACAGAAGGCAGCACACCACCCACTGCAGAAGGCAGCACACCATCCACTGCAGAAGGCAGCACACCACCCACTGCAGAAGGCAGCACACCACCCACTGCAGAAGGCAGCACACCACCCACTGCAGAAGGCAGCACACCACCCACTACGGAAGGCAGCACACCACCCACTACGGAAGGCAGCACACCACCCACTACGGAAGGCAGCACACCACCCACTGCGGAAGGCAGCACACCACCCACTGCGGAAGGCAGCACACCACCCACTATGGAAGGCAGCACACCACCCACTGCAGAAGGCAGCACACCACCCACTACGGAAGGCAGCACACCACCCACTATGGAAGGCAGCACACCATCCACTACGGAAGGCAGCACACCACCCACTACGGAAGGCAGCACACCACCCACTATGGAAGGCAGCACACCATCCACTACGGAAGGCAGCACACCACTCACTACGGAAGGCAGCACACCACCCACTATGGAAGGCAGCACACCATCCACTACGGAAGGCAGCACACCATCCACTGCAGGTGACCACACTCCCCATGCTGCCCACCTGTCTCCACTGTAGGTGACCACACCATCCACTGCAGGCGACCACACACCCCATGCGGCCCACCTGTCCACTGCAGGTGACCCACACATGCCCCGGGTCGACCTGTTGCCTACGGCTGTAGAGGAGTTGGAAGCCATGCATTTCAGAGACACACCTGGGCTTCCAGGGCTGCCAGGTGGAAATTAAAGCCACATCACATGACTCTCATGTGGATGGGGACGTCTGAACCATCCACAGGGCTCAGGAACAGAAACCTGCTCGGGTGTCCAAGAGCAGGCGAAAGCCACACTGAGAATGTTGAGTGTGGGTCTTGCACTGGCTGGCCCTCAGGGTCAGGGATGGGCATCACTCTTGAGGCTCATGAGTGAGTGTGACCTTGCTAAAGTGCCGGCTATAACTGGAGGTCCAGTTCTGTGGGAAGTGCTGCTGACCTGTGTGCTAGGCAGAGTTTAAGAACCTGAACTCTGGGTGCCAGGCCGGAAAAGCCAGGAGACATTGATCTAGGAATGCTTTCTTCTTTTGCTCTCCTGGGATTAAGGCTCCAGAGAGCAGACCCTGGTCACAAAGCATCACAAAGACCAAAGGTAACAACTCAGCCAAACTCCACCTGCCTCTGCCACTTGATGCCACTGGGGATTCTGTGTCACTTTGAGTTCCTGACTTTGTGCAGTGCTGGGAGTCCGGAGTTAGCCAGACAGCACCACGTGCATTCCTTCACATTGCTGGCTTCCCAGCCGTGCTCAGGGTGCTTTCCCACTAGACCAGCAGGGATGACAAAGATCCCACTGAGACAGAGGAGCCCAAAGGTCCAAAGTCCCCAGAAGCAGCCACAGTACCAGGCAGACCTGAAAGAAATGCTTCGAGGACCAGGAAGAAGTGATGGAGGAGAGAGGGAACGTGGGCCTCCCATGTTCAGGCTCCCTGGAGGACAGGTCCCTGAAACATGGGGCTCTGTGGACACAGCTTTGTGGATGCAGGTGCCGTGAACACAGGCTCTGTGGAATGTGAGCAAGCCCTCTCACTTAGCCACGGTGGCCACCTTTCAGCTGCGGACATGCATCTGGCAGTAGGCTCTGGCCTCCAAGTTTGGCTGTGGTTAGTTAGGACCACAGATATTTTCTCTTACCTGGTGTGAGCTGTGGCCACAGCTCAAGGGCTTCTGCACAACGGGCTGGTTAGTGGTGTGCAGATCCGAGCTCAGGGACCCTCCTTTCCCAGTACAATCTGGGTGTGCACCTCCAGGCAACTTCCTTATCCTGAAATGAAGGCAGTGCTGCCAATTCTTCATCATTGTGGCTATTTTGAGCTACTTGTTTTCTTGCAAAATAATAGTCAGTGTTTTCTGAGTCCGTTACATGCCAAGCATAGTGATAACCACTTTACACCTGACGTGTACAGCCCCTGGTGGGCACATTCACTTGTACCACCTTTGGGTAACTGGCCAGTGGAGGTCTAGGCTCTCTCACAGGTCGTAGGTCTGTACCACATCAATGCTCTCTCTCCCCATCTATTCTTGCCTGTGTGAAAGATGGCCCACCTGACTCGAAACTGAGTGTTCAGCCACTGGCGAAGGCAGTGCTGTTAGAGCCACACAGTGTTCAAACTTAGACAATGGCAGTGTTTGGGATGAGGCATTGTGGAGACCACCTCCTGTGTGGCGTTGCAGGGAGAAGGGAGCAGCCCCACGTGGAGGGTCCTTCACACCCCAGCTCTGCCCTCATTGTAAATACTTCTCTACAGGGACAAGTCTGTCCTGCACCGAGGGACACAAAAGCCTCTTCCACCTCGTTCCTTTAGTCTAGTGGATCTGTACCAGACAGGCATGATGTTATGCAGGGCCGGAGAAATTCTTCAGTGGCTGGGCTGTCGAGACTCTATAGATGTGATCTGGGGCAAGGGGTACCGTGACCGAATGTAAATGCCGGAGAAAACGATCGCCTTTGATTCCTGACATGTGGATGCTGTGACTGCATTCCCTGATAGCTCCTGTCCTCACTTGGGGACAGCAGCATCTCAGCCAACGGGACCTCGTATTCCAACTGGACTGCTGGCATTTTTCTGGATCTTGTTACTCCGTGACACCCGTTTAAAGAGGTGGCTGATATGACAGATATGTTAATAAGGGACGTCAGATTGATCTGCCATACCTGCACCAAGAACACGCAAACAGCCATCTTCCTCTGCAGGGAGCATTCGGCCAGACCACGAGTCTCCCAAGCTGGCTTAGAGTGGGGGTCCTTCGTTTCCGTTCCTCCAGCCAAGAGGCTACCTGCCTGTGGCCAACTGAGCTGAACCAAGCCATATCTTTTATGGATTTTAAGTAAATTTTCTTCTTGGGAAGAAATTGGTATGATTTTTAGTTGTACCACATGAAGTCTAAAATTCACAGATTATTAAAAGGGGATGTTTTATCACAATATCAAAATAGTGTGATTATAAAATCAAAGTAGTGTAGCACTAAGAAGAGAAACCGTGGCTGCGATAGTGCTCCTGAAGTTGTAAATGCAGAGTAAACACATCCTCCGAAAGGAGTTTGGAAGAAGGAGGAGACTCCAGTGCACAGTTTGCAAACCAGGAAGATGCAGCCTTTGGTGTAAACAAACGTGCCTGGAGAACAAAGGGAAGGTTCCGGTTTCATAGCAAAAGCTCCCACCCAAATTTCAGTCAGGTCTGTGTATCCAAGTAAAGGATTCCAACTTGCTTAGTTCTGATTGGTCAAGGCAGCTGAGTTCTGATTGATTGATAACAATTGAGTCTTGATTTGACCAAAGCCAGTGAGCTTTGATTGGTTGGATTGGGTGAGCTCTGATTGGTTGGATTGGGTGAGCTCTGATTGGTTGGATCAGGTGAGCTCTGATTGGTTGGTTCAGGTGAGCCCAGAAAGTGGGCCCACCCAGGTGCAAGGGTGCGGTTCTTGGGGGACTCTGCGTTTGTGTGACCTACAGACAGCAAATGGCTGCTGGGCTCTATTTTAGCCACTCAGGATCCACCCTGAAGGACTGGCGCTTTCAGCTTTACGGCTGTTCCCAGGAGTGGCCATCTCTCATCCGGCAATACCTGGTCTTACACTGGGCTGAGAATCACATTCACGCTTATTCTTATAGTTTAGGGTCTAAAATGCTTTGCTGTTAGCTCTTAGGTTTAAATCCCAGTCCTACGTATTAAACATAAGAATTTGAGCAAGTAATTTACCTTTTTCAAGCCTCAATTTTCTTGTCTGAATAAAAAGGAAGTGATAACACATCTGTCTCTCGGGGCTGTTGGGAAGACATCCTGAAATCATTACTATGGCCACACTCTTGCATCCATTAGCTTCTAGTGTTTTGTGAACCAATTATATGCAAATCAAATTCTCCAGTGTGACTCAATAGTCACATGTCCTATTCCGTGTTCGGAAACATGACCTTTCCCTTCTGAATCTGCAAGGAAAACAGGGCTGTTTCCAGACAGTAACTGACCTTAAGCAGGGGCTGAAAACTGGCCCAGGGTCACACCTGTCCTGCCACAAGTCTGTAAGTGGATTAATATGTTCTTACACTCTTTATAAATATATAGAGGCTGGGTAATTTATAAAGAAAAGAGGTTTCGTTGGCTCATGGTTCTGCAAGCTGTACAGGAAACATGGCTGGGGAGGTCTCAGAAAACTTACAGTCATGGCAGAAGGCAGAAGGCAACGGGGAAGTAGGCATGTATCACATGCCCAGAGGAGGATTAGAGGTGTCAGGGAGTGGGATGGTGGAGGTGCCACACACTTTTATAAACAATTAAATCTCACGAGTCCTCATTCACCATCACAAGAGCAGCACTGGAGAGAAATCAGCCCAATATCCAATCACCTCCCATCAGGCCCCACCTCCAACACTGGGGCTTAGGATTTGACATGAGATGTGGGTGGTTCAGAGCTGGGGTCCTTTGTTATCATCTTGCCAGCCAAGATGCTGCCCACCTATGGAAAACTGGGCTGAACTGAGCCAAATCAAGTAAAGTTTATTAGAACACAGCCCTGCTCTTCCACTCACAAACTGTCCCGGGTGGTTTTCATTTTACAGTGGCAGGGTGGAGTAGCGTGGCCGGCAAATCCTAAAGTATTCCCTTTCCCGTTGGTTACAGGAAAAGTTTGAGGGCTCCTGGTGCAGAGAAATGCTTCTCACACCTTCCTGCGCACAGGGCTTACCTCGGGCCTGGCTGGAATGATGGTTTTGATTCCTGTACCTCTGGTGGGACCTGAGATCCTGTTTCACAAAAGGCCCCACGTGACCAGGTGAAATTTTTGGTAGGAGAATGACAGATCTCCCGGGTGAAATTTTGGGTAGGAGAATGACAGATCCCTCTCAACTGGCCAAGGATGCTAGGGAGAGCTAACAGAAAAGCGGTCCCGCCTGCCTACTGGGTCTCCACAGATCCCATCTGTAAAACACCTTCATTTATTTTAAATTTCACCGGTAGCAAGAGAGGAGGCTCTGGGCTGATTAATCAGAGCAAAGAAAGAAACTTGTAGCCTTTGCTATTGTGCACAAAAAGAGTCAAACTCTGTAAAATATTTGAAGAAATGTATTCTGAGCCAAATATGAGTGACCGTGGCCCATGACACAGCCCTCTGCAGGTCCTGAGAACGTGTGCCAAGGTGGTCAGGCACAGCTTGGATTTATATACTTTGGGGAGGCATGAGACATCAATCAAAAACATTTGAGAAGTACATTGGTGTGGGGCTTGGTCCAGAAAGGAGGGACAACGCAAAGCTGGCAGTGAAGGGAGGCTTCCAGGTGTTAGGTAAATTTAAACGTTTTCTGGTTGACAATTGGTTGAGTTAGTCCAAAGACCTGAGATGCAGCAGAAAGGAATGTATGGGTTAAGATAACAGGTTGTGGAGACCAAGGTTTTATCATGCAGATGAAGCTTTGGCTAGGAGGCTGCAGAGAGAATAGCTTGCAAAACGTTTTTTTGTCAGACTTAAAGTCAGTGTTGCTGTTAATGTGAGGGGTATAACGAGACGTGTGTGACCCCACTTTCCATCA